TTCAATAAGATCTTAGCAAACAGAATTCAACAACACATCAAAACAATTATACACCATGATCAAGTTGGTTTTATTCCAGGGTTGGTTCAACATACAAAAAACTACAAATATAATATATCACATAAACAAAATTTTAAAAAAGACCATATGATTCTGTCAATTGATGCATAAAAAGCTTTTGATAATATTTAGCATCCTTTCATGGATCAGAACACCTAAAAAAACAGATATAAAAGGGACATTTCTTAAACTGATAGAGGCCATCTACAGTAAACCCACAGCCAATAAATATCATATTGAATGGAATAAAACTGAAAACATTTCCACTCAGATCAGGAAGTAGGCAGGGTGCCCACTGCCTCCACTGCTATTCAACCTAGTAATGGAAGTCTTAGGCACTGCAATCAGGCAAGAGATGGTGATCAACGGTATCCAACTAGGGTCACAGGAGATCAAAGTGTCACTCTTTGTAGATGATATGATCCTATACCTGGAAAATCCCAAAGTCTCAACTACAAAACTCTTAGATCCAATCAAGGAATACATCAGTATCTTAGGATACAAAATCAATACTTAAAAATCAGTAGATTTTACATATGCCAACAATAGTCAAGCTCAAAATATAGTCAAGGACTCTATTCCTTTTACAGCAGTGCCAAAGAAGATGAAATATCTGGGAGTTTACCTAACAAAGGATATCAAAGATCTCTATAAAAAAAATTATGAAACTTTGAGAAAAGAAATAGCTGAAGATGTTAACAAATGGAAAAACATACCATGCTCAGTAGAGAAGCCATTCTCATGGCTGAGAAGAATCAACATTGTTAAAATGTCCATATTATCCAAAGCGATCTACAGATTTAATGCAAACCCTAGTAAAGCATCATTGCCATACTTTAAAGAACCTGAAAAAGTAGTGCTTCTTTTTATATGGAATCAGAAAACATCTCGAGTAGCCAATACATTACACAGAAATAAAAACAAATCAGGAGGTATCACATTATCAGACTTCAGGCTATACTATAAATCTATGGTGATCAAAATAGCATGGTACTGGCACAAAAACAGAAAGGTAGATGTATGGAACAGAATAGATAACCAAGAGATGAACCCAGCAACTTATTATCATTTGCTCTTTGATAAACCTATCAAAAACATTCAGTCGGGGAAATACTCCCTATTAAACAAATGGTGCTAGGTGAACTGGCTGGTGACCTGTAGAAGACTGAAACTGGACCCCCACCTTTCACCATTAACAAAAATTGATTCTCACTGGATAAAAGATTTAAACCTAAGATATGAAACTATAAAAATACTAGAAGACAGTGCAGGAAAAATGCTTGAAGAAATAAGCCTGGGAAAATATTTTGTGAGGAGGACCCCCCAGGCAATTGAAGCAACACCCAAAATACATTACTGGGATCTGATCAAACTAAAAAGCTTTTGCACAGCCAAGAGCACAGTAAGTAAAGCAAACAGACAGCCTTCAGAATGGGAGATCTTTGCAGGTTATGTTTCTGACAATGGTCTGATAACTAGAATCCACAAAAAACTCAAACTAATCAATAAGAAAAGAACAAATAACTTCCATATGGGCAAGAGATTTGAACAGAAACTTTTCTGATGAAAACAGGCTCATGGTCTACAAACACATGAAAAAATGCTCATCATCTTTAATCATCAGAGAAATGCAAATCAGAACCACTTTGAGATATCATCTAACTCCAATAAGATTAGCCCATATCACAAAATCCCCAAACTATTGATGTTGGCATGGATGTGGAGAGAAGGGAATGCTTCCACACTGCTGGTGGAAATGCAAGCTAATACATTTTTGGAAGGAAGTTTGGAGAATACTCCAGAAACTAAAAGGACTACTACCATTTGATCCTGCAATTCCTCTACTAGGTACATACCCAGATGATTAAAAATCATTTTACAAACAAAGACATTTGCACCAGAATGTTTATTGCAGCCCAATTCATTGCTCATCAACCTATGAATGGATTAACAAATTGTGGTATATATACACCATGGAATACTATGCATCCATAAAAAATGGAGACTTCACATCTTTTATGTTTACCTGGATGGAGCTGGAACATATTCTTCTTAGTAAAGTATCTCAAGAATGCGAAAAAAGTATTCAATGTACTCAATACTACTATGAAATCAATATATAATCACCTACACATTCATACGAATGGTAAAACATAACTATAGTCCAGAAAGTAGAAGGAAAGCATAAAAAGAGGAGGCGGAAGGAGGGAGGGTATTTGGGGGGAACCTCACCTAATGCACGTGATGCATTGGTAAATTTCAAAACTATTAAGAAAAGATTATAATTACGATAGACGTGTTAATCAGTTCAATGTAAGCATTTCACCTTGTATATCAAATCAGCACACTGAACCCAATAAATGCATCAATGTACCCATAGTTATGATTTAATAAAAATAAAAAATAAATATATTATTTGAAAAATAAAAAAAACAGAGAGGCTCGGTGTCTATTGGCTCAAGCGGCTAAGGCGCCAGCCACATACACCTAAGGTGGTAGGTTTGAATCCAGCCCAGACCCGCCAAACAACAATAATGGCTGCAACCAAAAAATAGCCAGGCGTTGTGGTGGGCGCCTGTGGTCCCAGCTACTTGGGAGGCCCAGGCAGGAAACTCGCTTGAGCCCAGGAGTTGGAGGTTGCTGTGAGCAGTGAAGCCATGGCACTCTACCCAGGGGGACAGCTTGAGGCTCTATCTCAAAAAAAAAAAAAAAAAAAAAAACCAGAAAGAAAAATTGCCTGATATTTTAGAAAACTATAAAAAGAAAAAAAAACTTTCACATTGACCTACATATTAAATTACAAGCCCATCTGTCTGCTTCCCTTTTTACCACATCCTGTGAACTCTGTATTCATGTCAAGTTTTAGGTACATGCTTAGAAATTATGAAGAGGCAGTCTAGTATAATCAGGAAAGAAAATAATGGTTAAATGCATGCCATACTTTTGCTCAGCCATATAGGCAAGTGACTTAACTTCTGATGCCCAGTTTCTGTTTCTATAAAATAGAAGTGGTAATAGCTACTACCTTCTTCATATTGTTGTGAGGATTAAAAGAAAAATGAATACAATGCTCTTGTGCACAGAGCTCAAAACTCTTTTGGCCTTAGCTCTAGAAAATGTTCCTATCCAATGGGCACCCTGGGAATGAAATGTGTGTCTGCCCTTTCCAAAGGCATTATATGGCTTTATTAATGAATGAGAAGTGTGTGTGTGAGAGAGAGAGAGAAAGAAAGAGAATGAATGGGAATAATAATATATATTTGTGTATATTTTACCTTTAAGGTATCTGGAGCCAAATTCCACTTGTTAAAATCTCCACTTATGGAGGGAGGTAGTAGGCACAACCTAATCTCAATTCTGTTGGAGAGAGGGTTGGTTTCGAGGCAGATCCAGGAATCTGCTCTGGGCCATTCTGGGTGTGGTATGTGAAATATAATGGGTCACTATTAACTAATTTTACACTATAAATGCACCAATAAAAGCTATAAGAATATAAGCAACTAATTTCTAATTTGGCTTCTGAATTCTAATCAAGGAAGTTCCTGTCCACAGCATTTTTAATATTTAGTCACCTGTCCATTGTCAAAAATGACTTGGTTGTTCAAGAGATATAGGGACATTTGGCTTCTAGTTTGTGGGAGAGATTTTCTTTCTAATCAGTTCAACAATCTATCTTCATATCCAGGGATGGAAAGCTTGGGACAAGGTCAGAAGAAAACATCACCATTCAAGCCTGCTCTACAGGTAACTCTTGCAGCAACCCTTAAGGGAAAAGAATATGGGATACCTTCCTCTTTCCATGGTAAGGTTCACAGTAGCTATTTCTCCCACAAAACATTCCATGGAATAAGTAAATAAATGCAATACTGACAAGGGTGGCAAAAATATTTCCTAACATGGTTGCTGGCATATCTTGATGTTTAAACACAATGAAGGACAAAAACATGCCAATCCATAATAATGCTGCCTTCTTACTAAATTAAACCCTGGGACAAGGAGACATATCATAGCTTTAAAATTCAGTGAACCATCTTTGCAGTGCAGTTGTTTGGCACAGCGGTTAACTGAAAGGTTCGTGCCTACCCAGGATGGTCTTATCTCCAGACAATTTCTTGATAATAAAAATGTTCCGGAACTAAATAGTGGTGATGGTTGCACAACATTGTGAATGTACTAAATGTCACTGATCTATAATTAATTGAATGTTAAGTTTTATATGTGTATATTTTACTATAATAGAAACAAAACCTCAGAAGATGCATTTTCCTGACCCTGAGTTGTAACTGTATTTTTCTTCCTGACATGTATATACATCTACCATATAGTAAGCCTTGATATTTGAATGCGTATATGTACATCTGCTTTTTAAAAATCTTGGTTCTGAGTATCTACATTTTGGCATCATCCAGGAATATGTGATTCATTCACATACCTGTCTTGGATGGGATTAAGAATTATATTAACTTCATGAGTAGATTCCCTTGTAAAACTCTTTGGCCTTAGCACATATTTGCCTGCTCTAGAAAATTTTCCTACCCAATAGGCAGCATGGGAACGGAATATGTATCAGCCCTTTCCAAAGGCATTGTATGGCTTTATTAATGAATGGGAAGCAGAAGGAAGAGAGAGAGAAGGAGAGAGAGATTTTTAAAGAGTACAGCTGAACCCATTCCTGAGATTCATCTTTTAACCAGCTCAGCTTCCCGGCACAGGACTCAGGACTCTCAGTTTTCCTAGACAAAGTCAATATTGTTCTTTTATAAAGCAAAGATCATGAAAAGTGGCAGGTCTTTAAGAATGGCACAAGCACAGAGTACAAAGGAGAAAGGGGCAGCCAAGAAAGATTCACAAAAGAGACAGTGTCTACCAGAAGTCCTTTCAGCAGAGGGAGCTAAATACCTCCCAGAGAAAGGCTTTAGAAAAAACCAAGCTTCATGCTGGTCAACACTGGCCCTGGTGAGCCGGGAAGGATGACTTTGTACACTACTGTAGAGGAAAGTGCTCCCTGGGCAAGTAATTTTTTTTTTCTCCTTCCACCAGCAGATTCCAGCTGCTCTTGTTATACTCCTTCTTTATGGGAAAATGAAGACTTATGAAAAATAAAAATGCCTATGGAGAACACTGCAACAAGGATCAGGGAGAAGAAGACCATGAGGAAGACATAGGTGCCATAGGGGAGAGGTTTGGATATTGGCTTCTCAGCTGGGATCATGTTGGTCAGGTTCAGCATGTAGCCCAAAGTCCAGCCAGCCTCGCTCCCCTCGATCTGCAAACAGTGGGGAAAGTCTGTTGTTTGTGGGTGGAGGAGATAATCTGTAGCTTTTATGCAACCCCATCCATAACACTGAGCACCCAATGACTGAGTGTTAATTTTATTTTCCACACTGGGAATACGGTTGTAGGGAAAATAGATTAGGAGCAAGTGATTAAGAGAGTTTGGAGCCTAACTACTATATTCCCAAAGTTCAGAGTTGGTGAATGACTGCCCATTTCTCCTGTCTCAAAGAACTTAATACAAATTGACCTTTGGACCTTTGCATTCCTTTTTTCTTGTTTGTGTGAATTTTGGAGGGGGGGAGTGGTAAGGAGTGACAGGAAGCAAGTACAAGGATGAGAAATAATGATTTTCCCTGGCCTTTTACATCTTCATGAAACCCAGAAAAACCATGACTTCTCTATGATTCAACTAGATGATTATTCCCTAATTTTTTAAATTAAGTTTATAGAAGTAAACTTTATAGAAGTTGAAAGACTATGCATATACATGAGAATAAATTCTTACTAAATGATAAAACATGCTATGACCTTCCTAGGAATATTTTACAGTTATCTCAAAACATATTAGAATATAGGTGGTCTGTGAATAATAAATAATTTTGAAAAATTTTTTTCATGAGCCATGCATGGTCATGGAAGTACAGATAAGCTTAATGGAAGTACAGATAAGCTTAAAGAAGAAAATAAAAGCCATCCATACTTCACCATGCAGAAGTTGTTGCTGTTATTATTTTGTGATATATTCTTCCAGTCCTCTCTGTGCATGCATTTTTCTTACCAAAAATGGAATTTGGCCAGTTGTGGTGGCTCATGCCTATAATTATAGCACTCTGGGAGGCCAAGGCAGGTTCATCACTTGCACTCAGGAGTTTGAGACCAGCCTGAGAAAGAGCAATACCCCATCTCCTAAAATAGACAGGTGGTGGGTTCCTGTAGTCCCAGCTACTGGGGAGGCTGAGGGCAAGAGGATTGCTTGAGCCGAAGAGTTTGAAGTTGCTGTCAGCTATGAAGCCACAGCACTCTACTGAGGGCAACAAAACAAGACTTTGTCACAAAAAAAATAATAATAATGGAATTAAATTGTATGTAGAATAATTCACTTAAAATAATTCACTTAAAACACCTTGTGAACATCATTCCATAACTCAAGATATTTCTACACCATCACTGGCATGAACTGCCTTATACATTCATTTTATCCAGTTTATCCAATTATCATAAATCTCAGAAATGGAGTAAATGGATGAGATGATGTATACATTTTTAAGGCTCTTAGCACATATTATCAAAACAGTCTCCCAAAAAGTTGTGCCAGTTTACTCTCCAACCAGTATCATGTGGAAGTTCCCTTCTTCTATACTCCTTAACCAAGGTTGGAAATTAATAATATGTAAAAGATCTACTTCCCTCTATGGAGGATGGGAACCTTATCTAACTGCCTGTGTCAAAGAAGGATCCAGAGCTAAAGGATTTATCACGTAGGCCTTAGAAATGCTAATCATGCTTTGGAGGAGTTCAAAGAATATAGCTCAGGACTGCCTCTGTGTGTCAGGCGTGAATTTGACATAGACATATCCCTTGAACAAAATAAACTGTGAAAGAATAGAAGGAAGACTGGGATATAAAAACAAGGAAAAGATTTGAGTTTGAATTAGCAAGAGCAGTACTGACAAAAGTGTAAAGAAACTAGTATCCTCAAGGATGAGATAGCACTCTGCCTCAATGATTTGTTTTGCTTGAAGTCACCATATTTAATAGAGTAAATTTTTTTTTTTTTTTTTTTGCAGTTTTTGGCCAGGGCTGGGTTTGAACTTGCCACCTCCAGCATATGGGGCCAGCGCCCTACTCCTTTGAGCCACAGGCTCCACCCCAGAGTAAATGGCTTTGGCATTAGTGAGCATGGGTTTAAAAAGGAAGAGAAACACTGCTCTTGATATTTTTCATCAAGCTTGAGTTGTTAAACTGCCATAAATGTGTCTCTATTCCTGGATACCTGCAGGTGGTGTTATGATAAAGCACTGCAGTGAGGCTTCTAAGCAGCGGTCCCATCACTTACAGCCACTCAGTCCCCTTCCTCACACAGAGCTTTCAGATTAAAGTAACAACCAACAAGTATGATGAAATCATGATTATCCTTTTCCACTTTGTGAAAGAGGCCTTTGGGAGGATTGTTGAAGTCAGCACACAGAATTACTGTGACTACTGAAATGCTGTTCCTTTAATATCTCACTTTTTTGTTTTGTAAGGAATTAGCCACTGATATGTAGGAAGAAAGGTGCAACTGAGAATAAAGGTAGTTCTCCTTCAAGAGAATGCTCACAGCTGGTCAACGTACCCAGGAGGGCTTGACACAGAGTACCAGGTTGGTCAGAAGTGAAACAGTAGAAAAGAACATCAGGTCAAAACTTACTGCCCACCTCTTTCAAGTCCAAAGCTGCTTCTTCAATCACTAACACTCTATCCCAACCTCCCCTCAGTCCAAAAGGTACCCAAATTACCTTGCCAATGAAATGAGTATGATCCCAGGAATTGTTCGTGAAATGATAGCCGTGCAGGAGGAGGGAGAGGATGTAAGTACCAGAAAAGCAGTATTCACTCAGGTACTTCTCCTGTATTCCAACAAATGATGTCTTTACCTAGAAGTGAAGTGAAGGAAATATATTGGTATGACAAGCATCTATGACCTTCTTTTTCACTATTATACCTGATGAAGAAAGAAGAAAGCCCTTAGTTCACATGAGCCCGAAGGTTGACCTTTTCAAGGAGGTTGGAGTGGTGTTGCACTCTTTCAGTAAGCGTAGGGGTTTATAATTTAGGGTCTCTTGAGGAAACTTTTCCTCCATAGGATTCTATATTCTTATGTCCTCTAAGAAAAAGTAGTTCTTATGGTCTAGTAAATTCAAAAATACTAAGTTTTAGTGTCCCTTTTATCACCTAAAGTTGGAGTTTCACATTCACATTAGCATGTTAAAAGCTGTGAAAATATGGCATGAAAGAAATCCATCTTTTTAAAAGTTCAGATTAATATGAGGGTACATATGATCAGTTACATAGTTTGTTTTTATGAGGTTAAAGTCCAAGTTGCACTTGTGTCCTTCTCCCAGGAAATGTGCCATATAGCCATGCAATGTACTCATTGGGTGGGAACTTAATAAATCCCCTTCCACCTCACCACTACTTGAAAATGAGTTTTACTCTCATGTGAGCATTTAGTTGTTAATCTACTAGTTTCAATTTAGTACTGAGTACATGTGATACTTGTATTCCATTCTTGAGATACTTCACTTAGGAGATTATTTCCAAATCCATCTAGATTGTTACTAAACATACAAAATCTTCATCTTTTTGATGGCTGAACAGTATTCCATGGTGTAAATACATCACAATTTATTAATCCATTCATGTGTTGAAGGGCACTTAGGTTGTTTCCACATCTTTGCAATTGTGAATTGTGAGGCTATAAGCATTCAAGTGCAAAATGTCCTTATAGTAAAATGTCTTTTTTTTTCTTTTATATAGACATCTAGTAATGAGAATCAGGATCAAATGATAGGTCTACTTTTAGTTCTCTGAGGAATCGCCATACTTCTTTCCATGCAGGCTGTATTAGTTTACAGTCCCATCAATAGTGTGTAAGTATTCCCTTCTTTCTGCACCTATGCCAGCATCTATTGCTTTAGGACCTTGAGATGTGGGCCGCTGTTACTGGGGTTAGGCGAGATCTTAAAGTGGTTTGGATTTGCATTTCTCTGATGATTAGGGATGATGAGCATTTTTCATGTGTTTATTGGCCATCTGTCCTTAAGAGAAAAGTTTCTGTTCATGTCTCTTGCCTAGTTTATGATGGGTTTTTTTGCTCTTTTCTTATTGATTTGCTTGAGCTCTTTTTAGATTCTGGTTATTAGCCCTTTGTCAGATCCCTAGAATACAAAGATCTCCCATTCTGAAGGTTGTCTCTTTGCTTTGCTGATTGTGTCCTTAGCTATACAAAAACTTTTTAATTTGATCAGGTCCCATTCATTTATTTTTGTTGTTGCTATGATTACCAGTGGGGTCTTCTTCATAAATTATTTCCCTAGGAAGATAAGACTAAGAGATTTTCCCATAATTGCTCTTAGGGCTTTTATAGTTTCATGTCTTGGATTTAAATCTTTTATCCATCATGACTTAATTTTTGTACGTGGTGAGAGGTATGGGTCCAGTTTCAGTCTTACATGAGGCTAACCATTTCTCCCAGCACCACTGATTGAATGCTTATTCTTTTCACCCAAACAAAACAAAGCATTGTTAAAGCAAACAGATGGCAATATGAGGCTGGTTTTATCTCTAGACTCTGTACTGTTCCAAAGATCTATGTCTCTATTTTTGTGCCAATACCATGCTGTTTTGATCACTAAAAAGTTGTAGTATAACCTGAAGTCTGGTAAAAATGATGCCTCCAGATGTGTTCTTATTTCATAGAATTACATCAGCTATTCAGGTTTTTTTCTGATTCCACAGAAACATAGAACTATATTTCAAGATCTTCAAAGTATCACATTGGTATTTTAATGGCATTTAAATTAAATTTGTGATTGCTTTGAGTAGTACAATTTAACAATGTTGATTCTTTTTTTTGACACAGAGTCTCTCTTTGTCACCATTGGTAGAGTGCCATGGCATCATAGCTCACAGCAACCTCAAACTCCTGGGCTCAAATGATCCCCTTGCCTCAGCCTCCTCCATAGCTGGGACTACAGATGCCCGCCAGCACTCACAGCTATTTATTTAGAGACAGGGTCTCCTTCTTGCTCAGGTTGGTCTCAAACTCCTGAGCTCAGGAAATCGACCTGCCTCAACCGCCCAGATGCTAGGATTAGCCACCGTGAGCCACGTGCTAATCCTAGCACTAGTTTATCTATTAAAATCCTCTACCATTTCTTTTCTTAGTTTTTCATAGTTCTCTCTGTAGAGATCCTTCACATCCTTTGTTAAATATATTCCAAGGTATTTCATTTTTCTTTGATAATATTGTGTCTTTGATTTGATTCTTGGCTTGACTATTATTGGTGTATATGAAGGATACTGATTTGTGTACATTGATTTTATATCCTGATTGTTTGCTAAATTTCTTGGTCATTTCTAGAAGTCTTGTAAAGCTCTTGGAGTTTACTAAATCATCAGCAAAGAGTAGTAGTTTGACCTTTTCTGTCCCCATTTGAGTACCCTTGATATCCTTCGCTTGTCTGAATGCATTGGCTACGACTTCCATCATTATGTTGAATAGTAGTGGCAACGATGGACATCCTTGTCTGGTTCCAGTTCTAAGCAGGAATGCTTTCAGTTTTTCTCCATTCAATATGATGCTGGCTGTAGGTTTAAGGAATGTCCCATCTATGCCAACTTTCTTAAGTGTTCTTATCAAAAAAAGGATGCTGACTCCTGCCCGTAATCCTAGTACTCTGGGAGGCCAGGGCAGATGGATTGCTTGAGCTCACGAGTTCAAGACCAGGCTGAGCAAAAGCGAGACCCCCAACTCTACTAAAAATAGAAAAACTGAGGCAAGAGGATCACTTGAACCCCAGTTGGAGGTTAGAGATTGCTGTGAGCTATGATGCCATAGCACTCTACCCAGGGCAACAGCTTGAGACTCTGTCTCAAAAAAATCATGCTGAATTTTGTCAAAATGCATAAATTACATTTACAGATCTGCATATGTTGAACCAGTCTTGCATCCCTGGAATACAGTCCACCTGGTCGTGATGCATTATTTTTTTGATGGGTACTTGAATATTTGCTACTATTTTGTATCAATATTCATTAATAATATTGGTCTGTAGTTTTCTTTTATTGTTGTGCCCTTACTTGGCTTTGGTATCAGAGTGATATTTGCTTCAAAGAAGGACCACTATAGAAGTGATCAAAGGAAGGAGGGTTCTTTCCTTCTTAATGTTTTGGAATAGATTCTGCAATATATGTAGCAAGCTCTTCTTTGAAGGCTTGGTAGAATTCTGGTATGAAACTGTCTGGTTCAGGACTTTTTTTGTTGGAAACTTTTTATTGTTGTTTTAATTTCAGTCCTTGATATTGGTTTATTTATGAGTTCTATTTCTTCCTGGTTGAGTCTAGGGAGGTAGTGTGATTTCAAGAATTGGTCCATCTCCTCTATATTTTCAAATTACTGGGCATAGAGATTCTTTGTAGTTTTCAGTCATAGTATTTTGTATTTCTTTAGTATTTGTTATTTCTCCCTTTTTAATTTCTTTGAGCTTATTAGAGATCTTAATTTTCTGATTATTATTAATCTGGGCAAAGGTTTTTCAATTTTATTTATCTTAAAAAAACTTTTTGCTTCATTAATCTTCTGGACAGTTCTTTTGTTCTTAATTTCATTTCATTCTGATCTGATTTTGATTATCATTTTTTTCTTCTGCTGAGGTCGTGATTGGATTGCTCTTCCTTTTCCTGAGATAATCTATTAGATTGTTGATGTGCATTCTTTCTGATTTCTGGATGTGGGCATTTAATGCAATGAATGTTCCTCTTAGAACTGCTTTTGCAGTATCCTACAGGTTTTGATTGCCTGTGGTCTCACTGTCATTTTGTTTGATGAATTTAATGATTTTCTTCGTTAGCTCCTCCTTGACCCAACTATGATTCAGCAGTTAAGTTTTTTAGTTTCCAATGCTTTGTGTTTTTTTGAATTGATTTCTACTTTTATTTCATTGTCACCTATAAAGATACACAGCATAATTTTTATCTTTTAAAATTTGTTGAGGCTTGTTTTGTGACCTAGGGTGTGATCACTCTTGGAAAATGATCTATGAGCTAATGAGAACAATGTATATTCAGTAGTATTGGGGTGAAATGTTCTGTAGATGTCTGTTCAGCCCATTTCTTCTAGAGTCAAGTTAAGTCCAAAGTTTCTTTGTTTAATTCTGCTTGGAGGATCTGTCCAGTTCTGCCAGTAGAGAGTTGAAGTCTCTAAATATTATGGTGTTGCTGTTTATCATTTTGTTTTAATCATGGGAGTGCCTGAGTTGGGTAAATTAATACTTAGGATTGATACATCTTCCCATTGAATTGTTCCTTTGATCAGTATAAAATGTCCATCATTGTTTTTATTTGTGTTATTTTAAAGTTAATGGTATCCCACTATAAATATTGCAGATCTCACTTTATTTTGTTTTCTATTAGCATGAAATTTTTTCCAACCCTTCATTCTGAGTCTTGGTTTGTCCTTGGAAGATAGATGTGTTTCCTGAAAACAACAGATACTGAACTTGAATTATTTTTATCCAATAGCAAGCCTATGTCTCTTCAGTGGGAAGTTCAAGCTACTCACATTTATTGAGGGAATAGATAACAAAGGTTGATTTCTGTTTGTCCTGTTGTGAGGGACTCTATTGCTTTATCATTTATCCCATTGTAATAGCTAGGTTTTGTCCTTAAGTTACTAGGTAATTTTACTTTGCTGGGAGATTATTGCACTACTCTGGGTATAATTCAGGTCTGAGAACTTTCAGCAGACAGGTCTAGTAGTGACAAATTTCTTCAAAGTTTACGTGTCAGATGATTTCTCCATCAAATATCAAGCCTAGTTTTGCAGGATACAGAATCCTAGGCTGGTAGTTGTCCTGTTTGAGAAGATAGAAGG